ATTTTTTTCTAAAGAAGTTTTCAAAATCCAAATTGCAAAGTGGGCAGGAAAATAAAATAGACAAGTCCTAAAATCATCAGATTTTGGTGTATAAAATCTAATACGGGAACTGAAAAGGTTAAAACTATTTTTAAAGGAATAAAAGAGAAATAAAAAAGTCAAGTAAAATCAGGAAAGGCCGTCTGATAAAAGTATGTTTTAGGAGAAGACTTACCAGAGATCTCTGACTCAGCTGACTGATTTCCTTGGGCAGGTCTTTTCAGAGCCTTAAGTTTCAGACTGCAAACACTCTGCTCAGTTGAGAACCTATAAAAGACAAAAGACCTTTGCCCAAGGATTCACCAGTGCATGAAGTACTAAGAGATCTGACTGGTTACTATGAAGGCCATAAGGGGTGATCAGGATAAAGACACTCAAACAGGAGTGTGTCTTGGCTCTGGTTGAAAGCCCACCAGCTGAGCTCAGGCTGGAGCTGATCGATAGGTTTCATCAATAGAGTGTGTAAAATAGTCTCTGTGTCTTTAGAAGTTAAGATCAATTGTACTTTTGGAACAGCATCATCTTTAAACAGATTTGCTGTTTAACCGTCATTTACAACAATGATAAATATATATTAATGATAAATACAGTGGGATTAAACACCTTCATTGTCGACTGCTTCAAGCTCTCCTACCTGTTCAGCTCTTTGTTGTCGCTGTGTGATGCATCTCCTCTTCATAAACATGGTGCCATCAGTGTACAGATGGTTTGTGGATTCTCAATCTGTAGGTTTTGTGTAGTTAAATTAATCTTGGGGAAGAGGCTTGGGACAATCTCAAATTTAAAAAAAAATCTTTTTCCTTCTTTGATCTTCTTTGGTTCAGAATAAGAATAATGACCTACATATGTACTGCAGATGATTTGTTATTACTGAGCTCACCAGAGAGGAAAGGCTCAAAAAACTCTAAACAGCCAAAAGTACAAATGAGGATGGTCACTATGCTGAGTGAAATCACTCCAGTTCAAAATTACATAATGCTTTAGCTTAGAAAATACACTTTTTATAGGTAGTTATATTAATGAAACATCTTTACTGTAAAATTGAATACAGCAAAAGTCACAGAGCAGTTTGTCTAATCGTGTTCACCTACTTTTTACCATTTTCCATCGTGGGCTTTCTACAGAGACTAGGAGATTGGTAGGATAAAATCACAGTGACGATAACAGTGACGCCATGAATAATACAACCTACGACAATTCCTGCTTAGATTACGCTGACCCAAAGCTGATAACAAGTACAGACTTTGTTCTCTTGCTTCTGTTACTCAGAAGTCCCTCATGTGCTCCTTCTTACAGAGACTGCAAAGAAGATTAAACTGTACTTTTACAGTCTGGATTGCTGCTGCTAGAAGCTGCTATTATTTAACATCATGATTTCTCAAATTGTCTGCGTGAGTCAGATGAGGAGAGACGGTTTCAAGCTAATAAAAGACGGGAGTTTTCTGTTAACAAGCTGTTGAATGCTCAAATTCAGCGGTTGTTCTGCTGAGAGGATACATTAGAGCTTTTGCGTAGGCAGTAAGCCGCTGATGTCTTATTAATACACCCAGACAAGCACTACTCCATCAGTCACAACAAGAAAATCCCTTAGAACATGACAAAAGCTGCTGCTTTCCCAGAAAAGTCAGCCAAGACTGGAAATAAACTACACATACCAAGGTTTTACTGTTTGCAGTAGATTTGCAAGGAGTCTTTTACACTTGATGGTGCCTTATGCATTTCAATATCAAAAAAGTAGCAGATATTTACAATGAGGCATACAAACAGAGCACATACAGGACATTTCCATGAGTGTCACTGGGTAACAATAACATTGGATGTTAACAAAATAATATTAAATCAATAATAACTTTGGGAAAAGATGTTTCTGTAGAGATTCTGATCCTTAATATGAAGTTTGCCTACATTTCCATTTTTCCTGTGGCCCTTAAGGACTCCTTGTCCGTGTTAGCTTTAGGAGTGAGATTCACAACTCATTCATTCATTCAGTTCAGAATACCTGCTACTTCCAAGTTCAAGAATTAATTAAAGCTGCATTTGATGGGTCCTCGCCCTACGCTTGTC